CAACTCCCAGATGTCTCTTGATGTACTATCTCAGTCCACAGGAGACAGGCTATCTTGACAGTTTTGAAGACCAGAGCCCACTCTGTGGAGAGAGGAGTGCTGAGAGAACTTGGAGGCTGCCCTGCTGCTGGACTGAATGCTCATCCTCAGTGTGCCTGTGTGTGGGACCTTGGCCACCACTGACCTGATTGTGTCACGAGGCTCTTGGGACACTGGTTGCCATGCCTTCTATCCCTGCATTGCCCTAGCTCCATGACTCTTTTCTCAGCATGTTAAGCTCAGATTTTGCTGCTCCCAGGCTGGGGAGATCTGGACAATATGTCCTCATGAAGATGGACTTCAGGGTCCAGAATTAGCTGGCATGTTATCAGAACTTTGGGCTGCCCCATAAATACTGACTGAATGTTTGGGAGGACGGTACAATGATTGGACAAGGTCCTGACCAAGTGAATTCATTCATGAGAAAATGACTGAGTGAATGATTAAATGAGTTAGTGTTTGTGTGGGGTACGTTTAACAAGTAAGGGAGGGGATGCTTTCCCTCAGACCCAGGAAAGTCCCCGACAAAGTCAAGGCTAGGGTCTTGCTGCACATCAATACTTTACACATTCAGTATTTTCTCAGTAAAATTATGTTCCATGATCCTGTTTATGTAAAAAAAAAGAAAGGTCACATTCAGAACCCCTTGGTTTCCACTATAATGAGTTAGTGGAAAATAGTTCGTGTTTTGTCTTTAAGAAGAACCCTGAGCCTAGCAGGCAGCAGGAAGTGTGGCTGTCTGAGGTTTTGACCTCATCTTTCCCTGGCTTCCTTTTGTGCCTGAGGAACCAGCCTGTGAGCTGAGCCAGGGGCCAAGGCTCAGGTCTTGGGCTATGCTCAATATTTTCATAGGCAAAGTGCAAACCCTTGCTCTCCCTTGGGTCCTCTTTCCTTTTTCTCTCTTTCGTCTTTGCTGGTAAATTGTGAGGCAGTAAGGACAGCCGTCAGAAACTCTCGTGAAGGTTGTCTTGCCAGTGTTGACTGGGTCACAGTGAAGATACAAGATCTTCCATCACACCAGGGCCCTCCTGGTTTTCTTTTTTCTTTTAAATCTGGGTGCTGGAGAGGTGGCTTGGTTGTTAGGAGTGCATACTGCTCTTGCAGGGGACCTGAGTTTGGTTCACAGCACTGCACGGGGCAGCCCACAACTACCTGCAACTCCAGCTTCAGGAGATCTGATGCCCTCTTTTGGCCTCTAAGGGCACCACATTCACACGTACATATCTACACACAGAAACACACACATACCCATAATTGAAAATAAAATAATAAACCTTCTAAGAAATAGCAATGTTGTTTTGGTATTTTGCGATAGAGCCTTACTATATGGCTCAGCCTGGCCTGGAATTCTTTGTCCTCCTGCCTCAGACTCCTGAGGGGTGGGATCATAGAAGTGCATTTTAAAGAAATACAGTGAGCCAGGCATGGTAGCATAGGTCTTTTAATCCTGTCATTTGAGAGGCAGAGGCAGGTGGATCTCTGTGAGTCTGAGGCCAGCCTGGTCTACATAGTGAGTTCCAGAACAGCCAGGGCTTCATAAAATGTACAGGACATAAAATCTACTATTTTAGCCATCCATAAAATTTTGAAACACTAGTGCAAAACACACTTCCCATTCTTTTCAAAAAGACATATTGTTATTTTTTAATTAATTTATTAATTTATTTATTTTGGGTTTTTCGAGACAGGGTTTCTCTGTGTAGCTTTGGCACCTTTCCCGGAACTCACTCTGTAGCCCAGGCTGGCCTTGAACTCACAGAGATCTGCCTGCCTCTGCCTCCTGAGTGCTGGGATTAAAGGCATGCACCACCACTGCCCGGCTTATTTTTTTATTTTTAAAAGATTTATTTAGTTTTATTTTGTGTATAAATGTTTGCCTGTATGTATGTATGCATGTGCACCACATGCTTGCGATGTCTGAAGAGACCAAAGAGGGTATTGGTTTCCCCAGAAACTGGACTTACAGATGGTGGTGAGCCCCCATTGGATGCTGGAAACTGAAACTAGGTCCTGAGCCATTTCTCCAACTCCTATTCTTATCGTTTTAAATTTTATGTATCTGTGTGCATCCCTGTGTATATTCATGTGCTGGTGGAAGCTGGAAGAGCTGGAGTTGCAGGTCATTGTAAGTCGCCCAACAGAAGGGCTGGGAAACAAACTTCGTTCCTTTTCAAGAGTACTGCGTGCTCTTAACCTCTGAGCCTTCTCTCCAGTCCCCACACTCCTCATTTTTGTATAGCCATCAGCACGGTCCACATGCAGAACTTTTTCAGTGTTCTGGTGGACTTCTCCCAGCCCCTGTATCTCTGCTTCGCCCTTCTTCCTGTCGTCTTTCCGCTGTGTCTTCCTTTGCATGGATCTTACAGTATCTATTGTTCTATGTCTGGCTTCTCTGTCTTTGCACGGTATCCTCAAGGTTCATCCATGTTGTAGCGTATGTCAGCGCTCCGTTTATTTTTTTGTGGGTGAATAACATTTCACAGTAGGATTTTGTTATCTACTTGCCAGAGGGCAGACACTTGGCTGGTTCCACTTTTCAGCTGTTGGGAATCATGGAGATATGAATGTCCATGGTCCTGCCCTGGAGGTGGCCTCTGGCGAAAAGGGCTAGACTTGAATTCCCGAGTCCAGCGCTGTAGGATGGGGAGGGGGAAGAAGCCTGACTGTGGGGTTGAGCTATGCAACTGGTTCTAATGCCCGAATGGGTCCTTGCTGGGGAAAGCATGGCCTCTTGGGTCTGCCTGGTGGTCCAGACTTCACAGGGCTATGAGTGTTCATCCATCACTTGCAAATACTTTTCTGGTAAAGGGGCAATATCTGGCAGAGACGTTCCAGCCAGGCAGAAGTGAAAGTAGAAACAAAAATGGGCTGCAATGCTCTCCATCAACCCCCTGGGGGACATGTCTGGCATTTTTCAGGACACAGATGAGAAGACACATTAACTCTTACAGACATAGAACATGGAGGTTCACATCCTTGTGTGTGAGTTATGGGGTGTGGATGTGGGTGTTTCTGAGAATCAAACTCAAGTTTTCACACTTGTGCAGCAAACACTTTACTTTTACCGACAGAGATATCTCCCTAACTCCTGGGAACAGGGCTTCTGAGCCCAATGTCCAGACTGTCTGAAGATGGGACTTTAGGGGATTAAAGTTAAGTAAGGTCATTAGAGTGACCTTGAAGACATGCTAGAGGCACCAGGAATGTCAGTGAACACACAGAAGGTGCTCTCTGTGGCTGGGAAGAATGCATCGGAGGGGCCAGCCTTGCCAAGTTCGCACCCTGTAGGATTATGAACGTGTGAATATTTCTTCTTTTTGCCATTGAAGTAGATGTTTGAGTCAAAGTCTCATGTAGATCAGACAGGTCTCAAACTTTCTATGTAGGCAAAGATGACCTTGAACAATTTCTTTTTCTTTTGAGACAGGGTCTCACTGTTTAGCCTGGCTATCCTAGAACTCCTTATGGAGACCAGCCTGGCCTCAACTCAGACTTTTGCTTGTTTCTGCTTCCAGTTACCTTGAACTTCTGATCCTTCTGCCTCTACCTACAAGGGCTGGCATAGCCACACTACCTAGCTTGAATACTGTTTTTTTAAGTGCCATCTGTGCTGTCTTGTCATGGCCACCAGATCAGCTCAGATGACCCCCACTCCAGTCACATGCTTTCTGGTTCTTTCTGTCCCTCTCGATTGCTCTGCTTGTCCCAGAGCTTTGTTGAAGTGCAATCACATAATGTGGTCCTTTGTGTCTGTCTCCTCCACACAGCTTGGGCTCAGAGCACATGTGATGTGTGTCCACAGTTTATCCTGCCCTGTTTGCGAAGTAGGACCCCAGCTTGTTGTCCTTTGCTGGGAGGAAGATACCGAAACCATTTCCATTCTCAGGTGGTCTGAATTGAGTCGTTACCAACTTTTCTCTAAAATTTTGTGAGTGAGTGAGTGTGTGTGTGTGTGTGTGTGTGTGTGTGTGTGTGTGTGTGTGTGTAGGACAGAGGTTGACACTGAATGTTTTTCTCCATCACTTTCTACCCTATTTTTCTGAGACAAGGTTTCTCACTGAACCTGGAGGTTGCTGTTCTAACTAGAATGGCTAGGCATTGAGCTCCCAGGACCAGTCTAATTTCTGACCCTTCAGTACTGGAACTCCAGACAGATACCACCATGCCTGGTTTTCATGTGAGTACTAGTGATCTGAACTCAGACGCAGCTAGCACTTGACCTATGGAGCCATCTTCCCAGCCTGGCTTCTGATGTCCGTAAATGTTTGTGTGCATACATGTTTAACTTGGTTATGCACCTGGGAATTGAAATGCCGGCTCACACAGATGATGTGTGTCTCTAGATTTCACCACACCATTGTCCAAAGTGGTTGTCCCATCTAGCGTCCCATTAACAGTGAACGAGAGTTCTCATTGCTCCACATCTTGTGATGCTTGGTTGGGCCAGAGCCTTCTAATGGTGGAAAGGCCCCTCTTGTGGTTTTAACTTGAACTTGAATTTTCCTAATGGCTAATGATGTATAGAGTGTCTCTTGTATTTTTTTGCTTGTTGTTTTTTTTTTTTTTTGGACAGGGTTTTTCTGTGTAGCTTTGGTTGTTCTGGAACTTTTGTGACCAGGCTGGCCTTCAACTCTGAGAGATCCACTTGCCTTTGACTCCCAAGTGCTGAGATTAAAGGCACGTGCCACCACCACCTAGCTAGATTTTTTTTTTTTTTGTAATGTTAAGAAAAATTAGGTTGAGCCAGGTGGTGGTGGTGCATGCCTTTAATCACAGCACTCAGGAGGCAGAGGCCGGTGGGTCTCTGAGTTTGAGGCCAGTCTGGTTTACAGAGTCAGTTCCAGCACAGAAAAAGAAAAGAAGGAAGAAAGAGAGGGAGGGAGGGAGGGAGGGAGGGAGGGAGGGAGGGAGGGAAGGAGGGAGGGAGGGAGGGAGGGAGGGGAGAGAGGGAGGAGAGAAAACTAGGTTGTTGGGGTTGGAGAGACGACTCAAGCTGTTAAGAGCACTGACTGCTCTTATAGAGGACTTGGGATTCAAGTCCCAGCACCCACATTAACAGCTCGAAACCATCTGCAATTGCCCCAGGGGAACTGATGCATTCTTCTGGCCTCTGTGGGCATTAAGCACTCATGCGGTGCACATATGTACATGCAGGCAAAACACCCATACATATAAAATAAAAATAAATAAAATTTCAAAATAAAACCAAGAACTCTAAAAAAACTCCAACTAGGTTGTTTGTTGCTACAGTTTAGAGTCTAAATGCTCCCCAAAGCCACAGCTTGGGACAACACTGGGGGTAAGGGAACCTGGAGGAGGTGGAGTCTGGTGGGAGGAAGTTAGGTCCCTGGGAACATGGCCTCAAAGGGAATCATGGGACCCCAGACTCTCTTTGCTTCTCATCTGTGTCCGGTGAGCACCCTCCTCCATGGTGCAGTTCAGCCTTGATGCTCAGTCTCACTGATGCACAGCCTCAATGGTGCAGGGACACCGGTCGTGGACCGAATTTTCCTTTTTAAAAGCTGATTGTCTCAGGTATTTTGTTACCATGACAGAAAACTGAATAACATGTTTGTCTTCTCATTAAACTGTATGAATTGAAAACATGTTTTGGTTATGTGACTTACATACTGTGAGGGTTTTTCCCTCCCGTGTGGCTTGCCTCTCATTTCCTCAGCAACACTCTGAAGTGCAGACGTCCTCTGTCTTCACAAGCCCAGTTTCACTCGTTTCCCTCACTGCTTGTGTGATTACTATCAACTCAAAGACACCCTTACCCACTCAAGGTCACAAACATGTTCTCCTATGTCTTGTCGTGGTTTGGCAGGTTGGGCATTTACAGTCAGGCCTATGGTCCATCCCAGATACTGGATTTCACTACAGCGCTATGGGTATCAGAACACACCATCAGTGTCTTTGCTTTCATTACTGTTTTATTACTGTTATTTATTTATTTTTATATATTTATTTATTTAGTATGTATACAGTGTTCCACCTACACACCGGAAGAAGGAACTGGATCTCATTATAGATGGTTGTGAGCCACCATGTGATTGCTGGGAACTGAACTCAGGTCCTCTGGAGGAGTAGCCAGTGCTCTTAACCCCTGAGCCATCTCTCCAGCCCTATTACTGCTATTTTTACATGAAGCCACTGTGGAGCTCAGGCTGGCCTGGAACCTTCTTTTATATGCCCCTCCCCCCAATACTGAGATTATGAACCCAATTTGTTCCTCTTTTTTTCTACTCTTTTTTTTTAAGATTTATTTTATCATTTATTTATGTGTATGTGTGTAGGTATGTGCACATGAGTACAGGTGTTCATGGAAGCCAGGCAAGAGCATCAGATTCTCTGGAGCTAAAGTTGCAGGTAGTGAGGACTGTCCAGTGTGGGTGCTGGGAACTGAACTCTGGTCCATCTTTCCAGTCTTAGAAGGCTGCCTTCTCAGATAGCCAGCTCTCTAAATTAAGTATAACATCCTGTATCTGCACATTGGCCTTCTGGTGACAGGCAGTATGAGGTCTAATCTCCCGGGTCCAGTCCCATTTTTCTGTTCTGTAGATGACTAGTAATTTTCAGGCAAACGTTAGACACCATTTTGAGCTCTTGCTGACCTGGGTTTTTTCGGGGCGGGGAGGTGCCTCCTCTGAGGGATGCTGCGCCTTGTGCTGGAGTGCTTGGTGCTCACTTTGCTCTCCCTGCAGCTGTGCTCTGTGTTACAGCAGCATTCCTGTGGTTCTTCTCTAGGACTCTTCCCTAAGCCCTGGCCTTTCCAGGGCTCACTGGCTGCCCAAGGTACTCCCAAAGAAGTCCCACACCAGCTCTTGGGAGCTCTCTCAAGTCAGAGACCTACATCCCACCACTTTCCAGTGGCTTGCTGTTCAGGGCTCAGGAGAGCACCCAGAACACATAGCAGACCACTGTTCCCTCCCTTTTGAGCATGATTTAAGCATCTCTGAGCCCTGCCTTGTCAACCCAGCAAGGCATCATCACATCCAGGCCTCTGTGCAGAGACCACAAGGCCCTACTAATGCTGACCTGTGAGTCCTGTGACTCTTGTCTTGAGGCTCATGCTTTTTCATATTGCTCAATTTTTAAAAACAGTTGATTCATGTATTTTCAGTTTCAAACTAACCACTTTTCTTTCCTCTTTCTTTGTTTCCTTTTTGGAGACAGGATCTCTTTGTGTGTGTGTGTTGGGTGTAGATGTAATTCTAAACGGTCTTATTAAATAAGAAACACAGAGCCAAATAAAGAGTTAAAAGACCAGAGATCCAGCAGTAGCCAAGAGCTAAGATCACCTTATCTTATCACTGCTGTCCTTCCCCTGAGAGAGAGACCTTCTTTCTGTGTCCTGTCATTTTATTGCCTTTCTGTTCTGCCTTTTCATTGGCTGTAAACCCAACCACATGACTTCTTTGTCACTGCCTGTCTATACAGACCTCCAGGTCTCTATGGTTGGTACTGGGATTAAAGGTGTGTGTCTGTCACCACGCTGGCTGTGTCCTTGAACACACAGAGATTTTGCCTGCCATATGATCGGGATTAAGGGCGTGTGCTACCACTACCAGACTTCTGCTTAATGGCTTGCTCTTAGCTCTGATCCCCAGGCAACTTTATTAACATACAAATAAAATCACATTTCAGCACAAATAAAATATCACCATAGTTGGGGGTGGGGGAGGTTCTCTATGTAGTCCAGGCTGGCCTTGAACTCACAATCCTCCTGTCTGCATCCAGAGTGCTGGGACAGGTATGTGCCATCACGCCAGACTCTACCAGTTCTGTCTGGACGAGCATGTGCACTGAAGAGCTCCCCAACAGTCCCGAGCATGGCAGACATGGTGCTGACAGATTTTGCCCTTTCCCCTTCTCTCTCCCTTGCTAAAAACAGTTAGATTACAGCACTTGGGAGGCTGAGCCAGGCGGATCTCTGTGAGTTCGAGGCCAGCCTGGTCTCCAAATTGAGTTCCAGGAAAGGCGCAAAGCTACACAGAGAAACCCTGTCTCGAAAAACCAAAAAAAAAAACAAAAAAAACAAAAAACAGTTAGATTACATTCTAAAGCTAGCCCCATGGCTACTGACTCATTCCTGAGTCTAAATACCAAAGTCCAGCAATCACAATTCATTATACAGCTATCCTGGCTGATCTGTCCAATCAGGACTTACCAAGTCACCCTAGCACAGACTCCACCTTCTTCTCCCTAAAAATCCACTCCTGCAAAAAACACCTGCTTCCTGCCTGCTGCTGGCTGTCTGCCTTTGCCCAACCCACAGGCAGCTTCCCACCGCCTTTGCCCTTCCAGGGTAATAAATGTCCTTTGAGCTGAGACTTGGTGTCTGGGCGTGTCCTTACTGGCTCTGAGGGGCCGCTCCCTCCCTTGCAAGGACTGTTTCCAGTATCTAGTATCCACCATCGCTGCACACATTCCTCATGCTTGGCTATTTCTGAATCAAACTGGGGGTTGATTTACTCCCTACTTACTTACAAACAATTTTCCAGACAGGTTTCCCTCATGGGCAGTTCCAATGGGCAATATGCTGTCCTCTTGGTCCTCACGGGGTGGCCAGTGTTAACCTTCAGGTAGCTTTCTCCAGGGAGTGCTCTGCCTCTCCTTCCCAAGATGAGCACCTTGCCTTCCTCAACCCCTGTTTTCACAGACGCCCCTTTCCCTCTCTGTGGAAGACAGCTGCTGCCCATGCCTGGCCAATTGGGAGCCCAGGGTCTCTTGTGGCTCCCAGAAATGGCCATGGATCAGTGACCATGGCTCTTTCCTAGATCCAATTCCCTCCAGAAGGTCAGGGTGTAGCATGAATCCTAAAGGATCTTATTAATAAAAACAAACCTGGAGCCAGGTATTGGGGTGAACGCTGGAAGATGAGAGAAGCAGAACAAGCCACAGCTTCCTCACCTCGCCAGTTCCTCAGCTGATCCTGTTTCCTCAAACTGGAAGCCTCTGAGTCCTCATCCAAATGACTCTCAGCTGAACTGCTGCTCAAAAGCCTGAGAGCTTAACCAGCCTAGTTTCTGGTCCTCACGCCTTATATACCTTTCTGCTTTCTGCCATCACTCCCTGGGATTAAAGGCTCACTTCCTGGGATTAAAGGCGTGTGTCACCATGCCTGGCCGTTTCCAATGTGGCCTTGAACTCACAGAAATCCAGACGGATTTCTGCCTCTGAAGTGCTAGGATTAAAGGCATGTGTGCCACCATTTTCTGGCCTCTATATCTAGTGGCTGTTCTGTTCTCTGACCCCAGATAAGTTTATTAGGGTGCATGATATATTGGGGAACATATTATCACCACATTAGGGGGGGTCCAATAATTCAGGAAACAGGAGGAGCCTCCCACCGGTCCTCTTTTATGGCTGTCTCCTTGAGCCGTCCTAGGAGTGGTACAGGGCAGAGGCTCAGCTCTGGCAACATGTCATATGTCTGAAACCTCTTTGCTCCTGCAGGGCTGAGACCTTGGCCTGTCTCAGGGTGCCTCTGTGTGAGGCAGGAGACTGGAAGGATCCAGGGTTATTGCGAGGGCTGGGAGGATGCATGCAGGCTGGCTGTGAGTGTCCTTGTTACTGCAGGGCCAGGGAAGCTCCAGTGATGAGTGTACAGGCTAGAGAGGAGAGTGGAGTCTTCGGGCTAGCAAGCAGACAAGATGAACTGGAGACTCAAGGAGCCATGAGGATGGAGCAGTGAAGAAGTGGACACAGATTGTGGGTGGGCAAGGAGCATGTGCTGGTAAGAGGCACCCAAGAGTGAAGGAGAGAGGAGATTGGGGTGCTCTTGTGGCTTATAAAGTACTCCTGAGCACTACCTGGACACCTGTGTGGAGAGAGGTCTATTTATGGGCTCAGGACAGGACAGCGTGGCTGGAGGGAGCAGGTTCAAGGACTTCCCTGGAAGTGGGTTCCTGGAGCCCAAGACTGATAATAGGTGACCAGGAAGGCCAGGTGTGGACAGTTGGTGTCCTGGTCCCTGATTTTAGGTAGTCCCAGAGGAAGGTGGACAAAGGTAAGCAGGGGCGGGGGAGATAAGAGGACCACTGTGAACACCAGACTGAGATGTGGCCAAGTATATGAGGCAGCAGCCTGGAGCTTGGACCTAGAGTCTGAGCCGGAGACCAAGATCTGGAGTCACATGCTTCTGCCTCAGCGTCTGAATCCTGGAAAGCCCCAGGCTGCTGATCTCTGTCAGCACCTGACTGTACAGCACACTCTAGATCTCTGTTCTCTTTGCAGCTGCTAGCCTCCCTGCCCAGTCCACCTCCACCATGACAGCTGGAGCGGAGTCCTCCTTGTTTTCACCCAGCCCAACACTGCTCCGTCTTTGGTGGTTAGCCTCCTCACATCCTACTTCTCAGCAGTTGCCTCCTGGATGACCTTAGAGTCTGTTCCTCAGAGCTACTCTTTCCACTCCCCACACAACACACAGCTTTCTCAGTGCAGAGTGTGTCTGTGGTCACTAATGGCACCTGGCACGCCTCACCAACAGTGGACCCGACGGTCCGATGTGTGCCCGTAACAGAGAATGCCCTTCCCTCTACATCATCTTCATCCCTCAGTATCTCGTTTGTCGTGGACATCCCAGAGCAGTCTTGAGCACAAAGTCTTGAGGCTTTCAGAATGGGTTCCCTCACTAGGAAAGCTTGGCATTGGACGTCACGGTGAATGAGTGAGAACGTGAGAGTGATCTCACCTTCCTCTCCCAGAACTGAGATCAGAACTGCTTCCTCCACTTCACTCCCCATCCTCCCAACAAGAGAAAGAAGAAATACTAAGGGGAAAATTCCAGATGCTTGAGACTTCCCCGATGGGGGGGATGTCAATGCACCAGGGGGACAGCAGGCATGGACAGCCCCTGCAGAGGTCAGGCTGGGACTAGGCAAAGTCCTTCAAAGGATGGCTAGATGACAGGGATAGGATTTGGGGAAAACTTGTGGCTTGGGTCCTCTGTCCCTGTGGAGGTCAGAGCATGGGTATCTGTATCTGTGATCAGACCTACTGCTGCTTTAGTTCCCCGTCTTCGGTTGGGAGAAGAGCTGTGCTCAGGATAACCTCCAAAATCTCTCAGCCTTCCCTGGATCAGGTGGGCACCCAGCAGGAGACTGGCCACAGGGCCTCCAGGCTTAGAGTCTGGCTAGGACAGCTAAAGAGATCTTGGGGGTCTTAGTGTACATGGGGACAGGAGGCAAAAAGCCAGGGATGTTGGCAACTCTCCATCTGTCAGGGAAGTAAGGGGCCGAAACCAACAGGTGACAGGCACTAAAGGATGCTCTAAGGGTGGGGTGGGTAAGACCTGGGTCCAGGCTTTGCTGTCAGGATTGTCACGGGGGCCTGAACAGAGCTTATCTGGTGATGGGCACAGGGTGGCCTGGGTTGAATGAGTGGCTAGTCACCCCTAGTTTTCATTCAAGAGGTGGTGAGGTAATCCTACACAGGTTGGAGAGTTATAAGGAACAGGAATGGGTCTCACAGAAGACATGCTATTTAGGCCAAGATCCATGCAAATATCACATGGCCTTTATGCTGGCCTCTGGTGGTAGAGGGGCCGAGCAACTGGGCATTCCCCATTCAGCTAGGTGCTACATGGTGTCAGTAACTCCCGTCTCTTACTGTGTCCCAGTTTCCCAATTTGGTGATGGTCTCTGATTGTATATCTTCTGGGAACAGTGGCTTTGGAGCCTAGTGGGTTTTTTTGCGGGGCTGTACTGGGTTCAGGGATCTCATCAGAATCCTCTGTCCTCCCCATCCTGGGGCATGTCTCTGAGAGCCAGGAGACATGGAGACATACCAGCATCCCAGAGCCTTCTGTGTGTTCTGAGGCACCCGTGAGCTGTAGGGCTTTGGCCATTTTCTCAGGGTTCACTTGTGGGATGGGGTACAGGGGCTGCCTCTTCTCTTCGATAGGAACTCCCACAGTGTTGTGTTGGGCTGCCAGAGCAGGAGCTGGAAGAGTACACTCTACCACAGAGCCTTAGAGCACAAGGTGGGAATATGAGTGGTAAGAATATTATGCAGGCACCCATAATCTGACCCTGTCTGGCCCCCCACTTCAGAGCCTTAGAGACTGGGAGTGCCAACCTCTTCACCCAGGTGGAGGTCAGCAAAACTCTTTGACCCCAGGCCTGGGAAGCTTCAGCCTGACAGGGCACCTCTGTTCATGACCATTTAGAAACACTACTGCCCTAGCTAGCACCAGGCTTTTCCTCTTTGGGTCTCCAACTGTGACCTGAGGATACTGGTAGCTGTAGTCATTGTGACCCTTATCAGTGGATAGCCTTGCAGGGGATATCTGGGCAATGCTGGCTTACCCCAGTGCCTATAGCTTGTAGTGCCAGGAACTTTGTAGTGGGGTGTCCCTGTCCTCATGTCCTGTTTTTACTTCCTGTGACTGGCCACCCTGCACTGTCTACTACAGGTAGAGGCACACAGGTGACTGTGTGGAACATTGTCTGTAACATACAGCAGTCTCTTTGGTATCCCTCTGGGGTAGAATTCTGGAGGACTGTGGACTAGTGTTCTAGCTAGTTTTATGTCAACTTGACACAAGCTAGACTCATCTGAAAGGAGGGAACCTCAACTGAGAAAATGCCTTCATAATATCTGGGCATTTTCTTAATTAGCAATTGATGGGGGGAGGGCCCAGCCCATTGTGGGTGGGGCCATCCCTGGGCTGGTGGTTCTGAATTCTCTAAGAAAGCAAGCTGAGCAAGCCATGGACAAAGAGTCAATAAGCAGCACCCCTCTATGGCCTCTGCACCAGCTCCTGCCTCTAGGATCCTGCCCTGTTTGAGTTCCTGTTCTGACTTCCTCCAGTGATGAACAGTGATGTGGAAGTGTAAGCCAAATAAGCCCTTTCCTTCCTAAGATGTTTTTGGTCACTGTGTTTCATCATAGCAATAGTAATCCAAACTAGGACAACTAGTCAGCACCCAGAAAGAGCTGTGGGTGGGTTCGAGCCAGGTGTCTTCTAGGCTGGCCCACAGTGTTCCCCGGAACAGGGTGTGTTTTAGATATGGGCAAGACTTGAATATGAGGAAAACCAGCCCAGGACTGGGATGCCAGCAAGCCTATGAGGATGGTGACCAATCTGGTTAGATGGAATGATCACATGTGGTTAATTAACGGACAGTAGAGACGAGGGAGCCAACAGCACAGATCGAAGGATCTTGAGGAATTTGATTTTCTGTGTTCTGTTGGAGTTGCTCAGTCCTCTTTGGAGCCTAGGTCTATAGTATGCCCCCACCTCCAGGCTTACTGAGGTTCATGCTCAAATAGGGTGGCTCTGGGGCCCAGCATATTACTTTGTAGTGAGAAATCTCACCCACATCTGCAGAAGGAAAATAAGACTGTTCTGCCTGTTCCCTCTCAGGGGACAGGTGGGGAAGCCCACAACCTGCCTGAGGATAATAAGGAGTCATGCTTCACCCTTGGAGGATAAAGGCTGGCTCTTGTTCCTAGGGCCCCATGTACTCAGAAGTATGTAGCTTGAGGAACTGGGCAATGGCAAGTGGTGTTGGGGAATATCCCTGACATGGTAACTGGGAAGTGACTAGAAGCTCCTGGGGCAGGGTTCTGTGAGAAGGGTGTGTTGGGAGGAAGGTCAATAGATAAAGTTCTCAGTTGCCAAAGGTTCTGTGTGAAGGGTGTGTTGGGAGGAAGGTCAATAGATAAAGTTCTCAGTTGCCTGAGGCTGAGGTTCAGCTGTCAGTCTATCTGTCAGAAAACTCAAAGTGAGCACCAAGATATTTGCAGTGCCCTGGGAGAAAGACATACTTCCATGGAGTGTATATTCAGGCTGGGACTGTACAAAGGAGAACTTGTTCGTGTTCCTGTACTGCTTCTGTGGCTGAGGCTCCATCTCATATTTTGGGGCGGGCACTCCCAGCACCTCCTACCCCCATCTACTTGGTGCAGCTCATCTGTAAAGCTCAGAACCCGACTGCATTTCTCTTTCATTTTCACTTTTTGCTGATGGGCGAGGAGGGTGTGTGTGAGGCCCAGAGCCCATGGGGCTCCTGGCCTGCAGTGTCTTGATCAGGAACATGGAACCTCTGCCAGGATGGGGGTCTTCACCCTGGAGCCAGGCCCCCACAGCCAACACCTTCAGCCTGGTGAGTCCCAGAGCCTTTTCCTGTCTCCAAGCTCTGTCCTCCCAAGCCCAACTCCAGCCACAGCCAGATCATCCCAGCCATTTCCTGTCCCCAGACCGGCTATCTTGGCTCTGTCTGGGCCACTAGCTCACTGGGCTCTTTGTTGCTGGGTGTCCAGATCTCTGGAGATGATTGAGGACAACCTCATGTTGGGAGGTTACAGGCAGGCAGGCCCTAGGGGGCTCCACTCACAGACACCTGCTGTGGCTCTCATTCAAGAGCAGGTGGTGGTGCCCTGGACGTGGTGGCCCTTGGCAGGCCATGTCCTAGAAGAGTCCCTGGGCAGGCCCTGTAGCAAGAGGCCGACCCTATGCAGCTCTGCCCCTGAGGACAAGTACAGTGGAGGCAGACATCAGGGCAGAATAGCAGGAGCCAGGGTGTCTCTCCTGTTTGCTCAAGGAGGCAACTCTGACCAGCAGTCAGGCTCAGCTGCTCTCTCTCTCCCCTAGGACCCTGAAGAGCCTGTTCCCACCCTCTGCTGGAGTCTCTGAGTCCAGCCCTAGCTGACCCTGCTGCCTCCTCAGGTCTTACACCATCAGGCCCAGAATGAAGGCAGAAGGGAGGTTAAGCAGGTGTGGGCTCTGAGCCTGTCCCACAGGGACACTGCCAGCTGAGAGGCTGCTGCTACCCCACTGCACAGAGCAGAGCATGAACTGAGACCCTGGGCCATCCTGGGGGAGGCAGTCACAGGGACAGAGGGAAGAACGCCCCTCCAACACTCATCCCCTCCCCCAGGTGTGGTGTGTCTTCCTTTTGAACGTCCTGTGCTGTCTCTCTGTCCAACCCTTATGCAGAGAAGAGGAGTATTCTGTGGGGGACGAGTGCTGTCCCATGTGCAACCCAGGTAGGAGCAGCTCCGGGAGCCAGTGCAGTGCCCGGGAAGCCCCTGTCCTGAGTCTCTTGGCCTCTGGATCCTCAGTCCAGTGGCCCAGCTGATCCAGGCTGTACAGTGTTCAATCCAGGGACAGCCCCTGGCAGTCTGTACTCCTCAGCCTCTGGGACCTTTGCTGCTGCACTGTGTGGGGTGGGCCTGGGGCATAGGGCAGGCCCAGCATGTCGGGAGGCTGAGATTGAGACATAAGCAGGCCTGGTCCTGGGTGAATTAGGAGGTTCCACATTGTGAACTTCTGAATTGCCCATAGAGGGCACATAGAAGGCAGATGGGCCAACGGGTCCTGTGGGGCTTTGTTTCGGTTGGTGCCACACCTGCTGGAGTTCCAGGTGAGGGTACAGGGTAGGCTTCTGCAGGTTACTTCCACCACTGAGGAACTGTGGGTCCTGGCTGCAGGTTACCATGTGAAGCAAGCCTGCAGTGAGTGGACAGGCACAGTGTGTGCCCCCTGTCCCCCACAGACACACACTGCCCATGCAAACGGCCTGAGCGAGTGTCTGTCCTGCGGAGTCTGTGATCCAGGTGGGAGCTCCTGTGGAGGTGGGCGGTGCAGAAGGCAGGCCCTGGTGCACTGGGACAGCTGGAGGATGGGTGCTCTCATCACCCTGTCTCTGATGGCAGACATGGGCCTAGTGACCTGGCGGGAGTGCTCCAGCCGGGAGGACACTGTGTGCCGCTGCAGTCCAGGCTACTTCTGTGAGACCCAGGAGGGGGACCACTGTTCTACATGCTTGCCGCACACCACCTGCCCTCGGGGACAGAGGGTCCTGAAGAGAGGTGAGCTAGCCGAATGTAGGTTCCTCCTTTGAGGCCATTCTTGTCCCATGGCCTCTGCTGCCTGGTGTCCAGAAACCCTCCAGCTCAGGGATCTCAGAAGGAGCAGAAACCTTGGCCAACCCTAGGCCACGCACCCCAGACAAGTCCTGGTGTCAAGAGAGGAGAGAGGGCTATAGGCTGACAGATGAAGGGAGGGTGAGACAGTAGATCAGGGAGGGTGAGAGGAGAGGGCAGAGGAGGGAGAGCTGGGGAAGACACATCAAAGTAAAGACAGGAGGGGCCAGGTGGCAGCGGATGACAGGAGAAGCACAGGGGCAGGGGCAGGGGCAGGGGCAGGCAGGAGAGGGCAGGGAATCTGGGAGATTCAGGGCAGAGAAAAGGCTTTCTGGTAAGAGTCAGGAAGAGGACAGAGGGCCGAAGAGGGGAGGGCAGCTGGAGCAGGCCCAGTAGCTCCCACTTCTGGTCTAACCTCAGCTATCCAGCCTCACCTCAGATGCCTAGCAGGGAGCCTGACTTGAGGGTAACCTAGGCCAACCTCACTACTAACCAGATGTGAGTGTGAGGCCAGTCTTTGCTGCCCATCTGGAGTCTAACCAGAACACCTAAAAGAGCTTATGGGGTGAAGGTAGAAGGAACCCTGGATTATCCAGTCAGGCTCTTTCCTTGTCCAGGATCTGCTAGAACTACCCAGCGCCTCTCACATGTCCTTAGGGCATCATCTGCCACCACAGCTCCCTCTACTAGCCACAGAGCATTATGTGTTGGAAGGCTCCAGAACACACAGACCCCAGGCCCCACCCCCAGGAAGCCTAGCTCCCTGCAAGCCTGAGCCCAGTGTTTTCTGCTTCTCTCTCTCTGACCCTCAGGTAATTACAGCCAGGACACTGTATGTGCTGACTGCCTGATAGGGACCTTCTCACCTGGAGGGACTCGGGAGGAATGTCTGCCCTGGACCAAGTAGGTGACCTACACCCCGGGGAGGGAATTACTCTGTTCCTCTGGAAGATGAGTGCCCAAAGCCAGCAGAGCTGCACCTTGATAGGCAGCAGTCTGAAACCCCAATGCAGGACAACACGTGGGAGCCTGTGTTCTCAGAGATCACTGGGCCTTAGGAAGGAAGCCACAGTCTGTGGCCAGTTCCCACCCTATGAATGTGGCACCCAGGAGTTACGGATGTGGGCATAATTGTCTTAGGCTTTCTATTGCTGTGAAGAGACACCATGACCATCACAACTTTTATCAAGGAAAACATTTAATTGGGGCTGGCTTAGAGTTCTGAGGTTTAGTTTAGTCCATTGTCATCATGGTAGGAAGCATGATGGCCTGCAGGCAGACATGGTGCTGGAAAGGTTGCTGAGAGTTCTGCATCTGGATCAGTAGGCAGCAGGAAGAAACCTCAAAGCCTGCCCCCAGTGACACAACAAAGCCACACCTAATCCAAGGAGGCCACACCTCCTTCCTAGTGCCACTGTGAGCCTATGGGGGCCATTTTCATTCAAACCACTTCAGGTGAGGTCCCTTCTCTACCTGAGCCAGGACCTCTTTAAATGTGGGTCCCAGACCCTAGAGCTAACCTGGGAACTGAGGGTCTCTGAGTGTTGCTATGTTTCCTTGGGTGGTCAGGTGTGGCTTCCCTGGGGAAGGGTGCAGCAGCCCATCCTCAGTCTCTCTTCACCACTGTCGGTTCAGTCACTATCAAGTGTCCCCCCCCCCCCCCCCCCCCCCCCCGTGTCCCTTGCTCTTCGCTGCCATTTCTGCCATGCTCCTTGCTCCTCTTCCCTTTTTTTCTTATTTCTTCCCTCTCTCTGTCTACCCATAAAGGGCTTGAAGACTGTGACAGACTTCAGCCCTATCTCAGAGCTGTTGACCACCTGAGTGGTTCTGGGTTCATGGGCCTCGCCTTAGCCCACCGCAGTGCCCAGTCTGCTGACCTGTCCCCACGGCCTAGGTCCCCCACCAAGTCCTCTGGCTGCTCTCTCCTAGGTGCAATGCATTGTTTCAGAAAGAAGTGGAACATGGGACCAGCAGCACAGATGTCACCTGCTCCTTCTCGTGGCCTTTCTACGTTATTTTCATCCTTTTGGGCCTTTTGGCAGCTGTCTTAATAGTCTACATCTACAGTAGAAGAAAAAGGCCACACACCAGTGAGCAATACCCCATCCTGTGAGGGCTCAGGACCCCAGGAGGGATCCCAAGGGTCCTTGCAGGGTTTGGGTCCCTCTTTGCACAATGGCTAGTGGTAGAGGCTGTCCCCGGAACCCAGCCGTCAGGTGGCCTGTCTGGGGCCCTCCCATTTTTCCCTCTTCTCTCTCCCCCTCCCCGCTCCCTTCCTTCTCTCCTTCCTCATTGTTCAGTCTTCTTCTGTTTTAGCCATGCTGTGCTGAGCAGGGTACCAAGAGACCAGCTTGCAGATCAGCTTGGGTCTGGGAAGCTCTGGGCCATGGTTCAGGGAAGCCAAAAAGAACACCAAGGGCCAAACAGGCTACACTCTTGGCAGTGAGGAAGCATACTCCTGTGTGCTCACCCCTGGTGTTCCCAGTGTAGGTGGGTAAGGCAGTCCATCCCCATTCCCTACTCATGGGAGTGAGCGAACCCCAACTCTGTGAAGTAAGTGAGTGGTTGACTTTGGCCTCTAGGAAGGTGGGCAGACCTGGTGGGCCTCCTGTGGGACTTGACACATGTCCAAAGCCCACTTCTCTAGAGAAGCCCAGACTCTGGGGGTAGACCACATAGCTGGAATCGCAGAATCTGGGTTCTCCATTGCCAGTCTTGCATCAGCCTCTCCCATGACCTGATGTCTTTGTGTTACAGGACCGGGGGCCCAGGGACTGGAGCTCCTGCAGGTATCATTCTAGAGGTGTTTGGATTGGGGGAGGAGGTCCCAACAGGATGAAGGACTCAACTCCTTGGTCTATGCTGAGCTTTGCATGTTCCCAAGAACTATGCAGCTTGGTGCCTGAGAGGCAGGACTTCAGTCTGGGTTTCTCTGACAGGGGCAGAAACAAGAGAGCACTGTCAAGTTTCCAGTCACCGAGGTTGGGTTTGCTGTGACTGAGGAGGAGACAGCTTTCAACCCTGTGAATTCTGGATGACAAGACACCTAGGAGGCCCTAGAGGGAAACTTCCATATGCCTGTGGAGTATGGCCGCTGCCCTGGGCTGCTCCAGCGCCAGGACATACAGCAGTGGAGATGTGGTTTTGGCTCAGAGTCAAGGAGTTTGCTTTGCCATTCTTACTGTCAAATGGGGGTCCAGGGGCCTTTTCATTTTCTCATCTGCTACCATGTGCCCCTCCATCCAAATCCTGGGAGGTGATGACCCAAAACCTCCAGTATCAATGACAGCTACCATTGACCCTACTGCCTGGTTCTTCCAATCAGCTCAGAACAGCTCAGTCTAAACCCTGGGCCTCTGCCTGTCCTTGATATGTTAATCCTAGGCCTGTTCAGCTGGTGGGCTGGTGAGCACTGCCTCCTGGGTCTGGGGTGCACCTAGGGAGACGCCAGGCAAGCGCTTCACCACTGAGCTGTGTCCCAGCACTCTTCTCCCTGTTGTTTTCAGGCAGAGTCGTGTGAAATTGTCTGGGCCCACTCCGGACTCATTCTGTGTCTCCAACACGCCTCAAACTTGACCCTCTACCTCAGCCTTTAAAGAAATTGCAATTACCTCTGTGGGCCTCCAGGCTGGGCCAAGACCACTTCCTGTTCTCTTCTCTTCTCTTCTCTTTCTCTTCTCTTCTCTTCTCTTCTCTTCTCTTCTCTTCTCTTCTCTTCTCTTCTCTCTCTTCTCTTCTCTTCTCTTCTCTTCTCTTCTCTTCTCTTCTCTTCTCTTCTCTTCTCTTCTCTCTCTCTCCTCTCCTCTCCTCTCCTCTCTTTTCTCCTCTCCTCTCCTCTCCTCTCCTCTCCTCTCCTCTCCTCTCCTCTCCTCTCTTCTCTTCTCTTCTCTTCTCTTCTCTTCTCTTCTCTTCCCTTCCCTTCCCTTCCCTTCCCTTCCCTTCCCTTCCCTTCCCTTCCCTTCCCTTCCCTTCCCTTTCTCTCTCTCTCTCTCTCTCTCTCTCTCTCTCTCTCTCTCTCTCTCTCTCTGCTTTTTTTTTTGAGACAGGGTTTCTCTGTGTAGTTCTGGTGCCTGTCCTGGAGCTCACTCTGTAGACCAGGCTGGCCTCGAACTCACAGAGATCCGCCTGACTCTGCCTTTCAAGTGCTGGTATTAAAGGCGTGCGCCACCACCTCCTGGCTTTTTTTCTTCTCTTTTTGGTGTGGTGTGGGGTTTGTGAGTGCGTGTGTGTGTGTGTGTGTGTGTGTGTACATATATGCTATAGAGGCTAGAGGTCAATTTGGGGTGTTATTCCTTTAGTGGCTAACCATCTTGAGCCAGCCTGGGGCTCACCAATTCAGCTAGACTAACCTACCACTGAGCCCTTGTCTCTGTCTCCTCAGAGTTGGGATTATAGGCACAGAGCACTACACTGGACTTTTTAAGGGGGCTCTGGGGATGAACTCAGGTTCAAGAACTCATGTCCCTATGCTGTGGGACAAACACTTTAGTGACTGAACCATTCCCCCATCCTCAGAATGATTTTCTAAAGTTACATTTGTATTTGTCTCTTTTCTACTTGTTATAAGAAATAAATATTTTTGTTACATGCCTTGTCTATGTAGACATCCATCACTGCCATGTTTTCCAGCCCCAGTGTACCGATAGAATTCTTTGAACATTTCACATCACTCCATGGGAGTTATTGCCGTGAAGCCAGGGGCTGTGCTGCAGGCTCACTTGTCTCTTTGCCTCAGTCCTGGAATCAGTTCTCCAAATAACTGTTTGCATTTATTAAAAAATAATGTTTAGGAGTTGAGACTGTGGCTAAGTGTGCCCATCCTGAGGTGCCCAGTGGTCAACTTTGACTGAGTTCAGAAGTGTCTTTGAGGTCAAGGTGCACTTGTGGAGCATCTCCGGAGATGGTTTGCTGAGGGGAGATTCCCATCCTGAGCGTGGGTACAGCCATCCCATGGGGTGTGTCCAGATGGAAGAAGAGGGAGAAAGGAGCCCACGAGCAACAGCATTCCCTCTCTGCTCCCTGGCTGCTGTGGAGGGAGCAGCTCTGCTGTATCATACAGATCTATTATGGACCTCTGCCACACCAAACACTCAGGGCAATGGAGCCAGTGATCATGGACACTGCTGAAACGGTGAGCTGAAACACATCCTTCCTCCTCGAAGTATCTCCCTCAGGTATGTGCCACTGCAACGGATAGTCTCGTTGATGCTGCATGTCACAGCTCTGTATATCTATCATTACATCTCTTTCTTAGTTACTGTTCTATTGTTGTGAAGAGAAACCAGGAACAAAGCAACTTATAAAAGGAAGCACTTAATTGAGGCTTGCTCATAGTTTCAAAGGGTTAGTCATCACGACGGGAAGCAGACAGGCACGACACTGGAGCAATAGCTGAGAACTTTATGTTCTCAACCACAGGCAGGCGAGAGACAGAGACAGAGACAGATAGACAGACACAGACAGACAGACACAGAGACAGAAAGAGACAGACAGAAAGAGAGATTGGTCTTGATGTGGGTTTTTAAAGCTCACCTCCAGAGATACACTTCCTCCAATAAGGCCACACCTCCTAATCCTTCCCAGTTCCACTAACTGGGGCCTAAGCATTCAAAAATATGAGCCCATGGGACCATTTTCCTTCAAACAACCACAATATCTATATTATCTTTCTCATTTATGTATCTATCATCCATCTATCTCATCTCTTTATCATCTATCTTTTCTTATCTTTTATCTATCTATCTATCTTCTTTATCCCTTATAATCTTGCTACTTACCTACTCATTAGCCTGTGGAACATATGGAAGAACTTGTGTATTAATGCTTGAGGTTAAAGAAGTTGAGTTATGAAGAAGAGATAGGCAGGTTGTACAAGTGCCTGTCATTATTTGCCATGATACAGATGGATCGTAATTAGATTGTAGAACAGGCCTGCATTAATGTCTCACAAAGAGGACATCGGAACAGGAACCTGGTGATCATGAAAAAAGCTTCCAGTAACACAGAGGACTCTGTCCACCAAAGAATCATACCAACTTTAAGTGCATGCACGGATGCAGCTTGGCCTAATGCAGCCTTCCTGAGTCTTAACTATAGTAGTTCTGACACAGTAGCCACTGACCTACCTGGTCTGTTTTCAGCAGATAGTCTCCCAGCAACGAAAGGAGATGGAACTATTAGAGTGCAACATGGAGCCTTTTGTGGGGACTTTGTGCTATCAGCACCCGGAGTGTGCTTGATGCTCCTGGTGTAAGCTTGAGACAAATAAGGTGGACCAGGCTTGATTGAAGTCACTTTTGTCCTGATCGCTTTCTGAACTCTTCATTCTGACATAAGTTGCAGGGATCAGTGTTCTGCCACTCAGGCCCATAGTCTGTCTGTAAGTCCCCAGAAAAGTGCCCATTGTATTGTTCTCGATCTGTTGGCCCCTGACTTTGCTCTGACTGTATCTAGGGCCTGGTCTCCAAATACAGGGGCCAGGTTGCCCTAGAACAGCACCTAATAATGGAGCTTTGAATTAACAAAAGAGACATTAGAATTATCGGAGGTGGGTGAATGGTTTTTAAGAAGGTTTGGGCACAGGGGGGCCTGAGCATTGCACTTTTTGATGTTGTCAGAATGGGTGGGCTTAAAACTTCAGAAAACAGAGACATGAGCAGGACCCTGAGACCATTGCTTTCTTGCACAGCCCTCTTCTCTCTGCCCTCTGCCCTCCTACAGCAGGACAGGGCATGCATGCTCAACCAATCAGAGGCAGAATTCACATCCACCTGAATAAAAGGAGGCCTGGGGAAGCTGTGTGGCACTGTGTTTCTAGTGTTCTTTGAGATGGCTGTCTGAAGCTGTAGAGAACTCTGGAGATGCCCAGTCTAGATCCACTTGGAGCTAGTGGTCCCCAGAACCAGTCTCTTCAAGCCACATTTACTCAGGCTCCATGAGAGGGGCAATGGGACCCTGAGGGTGATCTTCTTTGTACCAGCTGCCCACACAAGATACCTGTTCCAAACATGCTTTTATTCTGATGGTTTGACATCTGGAGCCTCACTTACGCTTTCAAGAAGAGCCAACTCCTGGATTCAGGAAACAGTGACAGGGAAGTTTGCAACTTATGCTCAGACTAACTAAGCTGAAGCCCACCTGCGTGAGTTACTTTTCTCATTCCTTGGACCAAATTCCTGACAAGAAGCAACCTAAGGAAGAGGGGTTTACTTTGGCTCCTAGTTTGAGAGCAGCATTCATCACAGTGGGAAAGTCATGAAAGCAGTTGCGTGAGGCGTCCGCTCACACATCTGCAGTCAGGAAGCACAGAGTGGAGGTAGCTGCTCACACCACATCTGCAGTCAGGAAGCTCAGAGTGGAGGTAGCCGCTCACACCACATCTGCAGTCAGGAAGCACAGAGTGGAGGTAGCTGCTCACACCACATCTGCAGTCAGGAAGCACAGAGTGGGGGCGTCCGCTCACACCACATCTGCAGTCAGGAAGCACAGAGTGGAGGCAGCTGCTCACACCACATCTGCAGCCAGGAAGCACAGAGTGATGGATGTTATGCACAGCTTGCCTTTTCTTTATTCAGTCCAAAACCCTTGCCCATGGAATGGTGCTGCTCCTCTAACGTGTCAACCAACCCCAAGGGCTGGTCTTCCCACCTCAATCAACCCAATCTAGAAACTCTTTCCAAACATGCCTAGACATTTGTTTCCATGGTGATTCTACATCCCATCAAGATGATGATCAATATTAACCATTGCATTGCTGGATTTAGAGTCACAGCCTGTGCCATAACAAGCCAGGTTTGGATACCCGTCCTTGAGAAGACAATTTATTTTTATTTATTTATTTTTTTGTAATTTATTTAACTTTATTTAATGTGCATAGGTGTGAAGATGTCAGATCCCAGGAAACTGGAGTTACAGACAGTTGTTAGCTGCCATGTGGGTGCTGGGAATTGAAACTGGGTCCTCTGGAAGAGCAGCCAGTGCTCTTAACCACTGAGCCACGTCTCCAGCCCCGGGAAGACAATTTAAAAAGCTACCTTAATAGTGAAAAGCAGTGAAGGCCTTACCAGCCTGCATCAGGGTAGTGTCTGCACTGAGACAGGCCACAGGACAAGACTGTGCTGTCACTTCAGGTGCATGGCTAGAGGACAGGGCAGCCTCAGGCCACAGTGCTGGGTTTTCAGCCCAGCTTCTCTTCTTCATGTATTGTGTGACGTTTGCTTAGGAGATATGAACAAATATCTGGTTACCCCATATAAGACACTAAAACCTGCAGGTCCCACCCCAGTTGTGGGGCCTCACAGGAGCTGCCTTTGAAAAGTTCCAGGGGTGAGGTGTGGCCCCCCGAATCAGCAGGACTGTGGGGAGGGGAAGGCACTGAGTGCCCAGAGGGCACTACAGGGGCAGGTGGGAAGGAAGGTGACGAGGTCAGCTGAAGCCTGGGAAGTGGCAAGGGCAGGAATCACCAGAGTGGATGGAGTCTGCAGATGGCCGCCCTGGGAAAAGGGACAGAGATCCAGTGACCTTTCCAAATCCATCTTTCCACTCCTGACCCCAGGTGGAGGTAAAGCAGAGGCCTGAGTTATGCATTTAAGTAGTCCTGTTAAGCCATGGTCCCACCTGCCACAGATTCATCGTTGCCTCTCCTGTAAAGTGGTCTGGCAAATTGGGAGTCTCCAGAAGTTTCCCTTCTGGCTGGCCCAAGCTTTAGGCTTTCTTTTCT